TGGCGTACCCCGGATCGACGGACAAGGCAAACTCGTAAATTGTGTGCGAATGTCTGTCGTTGTAGAACGCTCCAGACGTTATGTTACTATCTACATGTATCGTTCGCACTTTTATTATATCCACGGGTAAATCTGAGGAATGCATAATATTGGGCTCCAAAATTTTCTGTGAAAACCCCAATAATTTTCCGATACTGTCCGAGTGTTGTTTAAAGTTTACCCCGTATACGGGGCTGTAGATTTCACACTTTATCGTATTATTGTTGGGTTTGATTGATATCTCCTCTATTAATTTTGGGATCGTATTCTTCTCTTCCTTATTTTTTGGCAGATGTTCGTTAATGTAGGTTTCAATGTCGCTAATTTCATAGGACCCGGTCGGAATTTCAATTACGTTTTCTTTATTGTTACTATCGAAGTAGTAAAATTTATTCGAACCCTTATCTACGTTGGGAATGTTGTTGTAAGAGTGGAATCCAATCAGCGCTAAACCGTACTCTACATCTTCATCCAACTGCAGCGGATTGACAAAGTTGATGGATAATGTCGACGTGTACCCTTTTAACGTAAATATGATCGACATGTTGACTGCTTATAGGTAAGCGATTTCAGTCCTTTTTATAGAGAAATTGCAAACACAAATGACCGCAATTGTATTGCGTAAACTTTTGATATCTATCGTGATTATAGTAGATATTGGCGCTGTTGCCGAAATATTTAACAAGTTCCGCGGGTGGTTTAAGGTTACCGAAACTGTCAAAATACTCAACATCGTTTCCCTTCTTCTTTTTGTATGCTACCCAGTGGGTTCCTCTATTTCGACGAAGTGAGGAATTTTTAATTTGCGCGCCAGAGATATTAAATCGACGTCGTATAGAGCCCTTCTGGGTAGCTTGATTGGGAGTTTTTTTGTTTCTTCAGATAAAGACCGCCGCGTGGACTCTTTTTCAAGAATAGACCCGATCCCTTTTTTCCAATCTCTTCCATAGCTCGGTTATGGCGGTTGGCCTCTTCGAGTTTCTTTCGTGCGTTTTTCGCATCGATGACAGTTTTAGCGATAGCAGCGGCTCCGCCCGAGAGCGAACCTAAAGCCCCTAGCGCTCCTAATAACGGTAAAAGTGATAAAATACCGCCCGATTTTGATTCGAACGGTATAATTCTAGGTACCCTAATTTTTTTACGTCCTCCCGCTTTTCTTACAGCGGCTCTGCCAGCTCGAAGCGCTTCCAGTGTCGATCTTCTAAGCATTTTAGGGTTATCGATATGAAACAATTGTTTCTTCTTTAATGCATTGCGAACCTTTTTCACGACACCCTGTCGAAACGAAACAGAGGGACGCCGTTGTTGACCCATACCGAGCTTACGTTTAGTTTTCATAGTCGCGGTGACAAAGAATGCGGCAGCTTTTTCACCAAACTTTGCGTCTTTAGATTTTACTCGCTGCCACGCACGCGTTTCCAATTCTTTATCCGCTTTATGACGTTCGTCTAACGATTTGTTTTGCGAATAGGCAATGTCGTGTACCTTACACGCAGCGTCCAAAGGATTCACCCCGTTATCGCCTCGGTTCAAGCGTTTTTCCAATTTTGTACCGGGACCGCAAAACTGGTAACCCGGAATGTGTACTTCAAAAGGTAACTTGTTAATAAGCGTGTTAACGAGACCACTTCCGGACGCGAAGCATAACATACTAATTAAAGGAAATTGCTTGTGTCGTATATATATATATATACGAGGTGTCTCGAATAAACATTGTAGTCATGCGGGTGGTGCAGCAGAAACTCAAGCTCCCCATCGATAATTTAGATTTGGTTTGCGGAGATGGTTTCTTTAACAAAAGCAAACACGGTCAACTGCTACCCAATTCATTTAGGGCGGTGTTTTGCGGACCTAGCGGTTGCGGCAAAACCAACACCATGTTAGCGCTACTCTTTAACCCCAACGGGGCAAGTTTCGAAAACGTTTACGTCTACTCAAAGTCGTTGTATCAATCAAAATATCAACTGTTATCTCGCGTATTGAGCAATGTCAAAGGAGTTGGATATTATCCCTACAGTGAAAGAGACTCGATAATCGACCCCAGCGACGCGAAAGAGAATTCTGTGTTTATTTTCGACGACGTGGCGTGCGACAAGCAAGATAAAATTCGCGAGTATTTTTCGATGTGCCGACACAAGGCCATCGACGCTATTTATCTCTGTCAGACATACTCCAAGGTACCCAAGCAATTGATACGTGACAATTGCAATATTGTCGCGTTGTTTAAACAGGATGACATGAATTTACGTCACGTTTATGATGAACATGTCTCACCCGACGTTTCATACGACACGTTTAAACAAATTTGTTCCGAGTGCTGGAAAGAAAAGTACGGCTGTTTGATAATTGTCAAAGATTTCGACGTAAAAAACGGACGCTACCGCAAGGGTTTCGATAAATATATAAAAGTCGATATTTAATTGTCGATAGAAACAGTCATGAAGGCGACGTCCGCCGACATCGCCGACGCGGCGCTAAAAAAAAAGTAAACGAGTTGTCTAGATCTATTCGAAAGAAGTACTTAACATTAAAATTGGGTAAGAGCGAAGAGGATGCGTCAATTCGGAAGCTTTTCAAACCCGTCAGCGAGCCGCTAGAACGTATAGCAAAAATAAAGCTATCACCGGCACCGGCAGAAATAAAAACTGAACGTCGAGGTGTCAAGCGGGAACACAAAAAGGAACCGAACGAAGAAACAAAAAATAAGGTTAACGTATCATTTTTGCCTATGGAAGAAATTCAGGAAACGCCGGATCCCAAGAGCGTTGAGATGCAAAATATCGATGAGGAGGAAGATGATGTGTTTGACACATCGAGCGTGGCCAACGCATCCCTTCAATCATACCTGGAACAATATCCAGAAATTTCCCATTCATATATTCAAAATTTATGGGTAAAATCGCCCGACACCGATATTGTTTACGGACCCGTTTACGACAAAATATCATCCAAATGGTTTCTCGGCAATAAATCGCTGGATTTTCATCAAGGATCTGGCGATATTATTGTAGACGGCGAGAGATATTCCGGTACCCGCGGCTTGTATAATTTGGTGTTTTTGAAAGATCCCATAGCATACACAAAAGACGATTTGGCACAATATAAAAAAATAATGGAGGCTACCCAGGTGCACAGGGACGCGATCGGACGTCTGAAAGGCGCATCGACTGTACCAAAATATACCAAGGTCATCCGACCCTTAATAAAATCTCAGTCGCGTTCGTACTCGTACAGCGGTCAAGGTTATAATATGCGTTATAATGACGCTCCTACTGAATATGTATACTGGGACGACGTCAATGAACTCGTAGAGCGTCTGAAATTACTAATCGCGTCGAAACACGCAGGCAACACGTCTCATGATAACGAAATAGTTTCAATCGTTGAAGAGCTAAAAGAATCAGGTTTTATACGTTAGTTTAACGATGAGTCTGGACAAGTTTGGACGTTCTAGCGCGCTGCGACGACCCTTCACTAATACTGTGATTAGAAGCGCCCTCGATTATATGCCAGACGGAAACGTCAATATGAACAATTTAAAAATTTGCAATGTCCAAACGCCTAGCGACGACGGTGACGTGGCTAACAAAAAATATGTGGATGAGACAAGTAATTTCTTAAAAATTGCATTGAGAAAGATTATTGGACAGAAACTCGAAGCGTACACGAAAAGATTACAAATTGAAGACAAAACTAAATTCTCGCGTCTTGAAGAACAACTGAAAATGAGTAGCACTACACTCGAAAATGAAATTAGGCAGTTTCGCGAAGTTTTCCACCAAAAGCTAAGCGAAATGAGCGCAAAGAAAGATTTGGAAAAGCACATGACAAAAGTCGCCGTTTTGTCACAGCAATTTCATGATATTGTATCCAAAATGGAGCGACTTACGAACGAAAATGAGAATATAATGAAGGTATTGAAACAAAGGGTTTTAAATCTTCCATCGCAACCGAACACACATTATGAATAAAGAGAAGGTACAACTGGTTCGAGAACTGCACAAGCCGGCACGCAGAAATTATGCTCGCCGCCGGACTATAATACGAGGGATGGACGACCTGTGGCAAGCGGATCTGGCCCAATTAGATCGCTACAGCAAACAAAACAGAAATTTTAAATTCGTGCTGGTTGTGATAGACTGTTTCTCAAAATATGTATGGTGTCGCCCGTTGAAAACCAAAACCGGGGTCGAAGTCGCCAAGGCGTTTTCCAAAATTCTCAAGGACGGACGGCACCCTCAAAACTTGCAAACGGATCTCGGTAAAGAATTTTACAACGACACGTTTCTGAAACTTGTGGATAAGCATAAAATTAACCACTATAGTACGTATAGCATAAAAAAGGCCTCAATTGTCGAACGGGTGATACGTACCCTCAAAGAGAAATTGTTTCGACATTTTTCTTTACGCGGGACGTACAAATGGATCGATGTGCTGGCCTCTATCGTTGAAGAATACAATAATACAAAACATAGAACGACGGGTACGAAACCCATCGATGTGAGTAAGAGCAACGAAAAGAGAATTTTGAAAACCGCGTATAGTAGCATAAAAATATTCGGTCCTCGTAAACTTAAAGTCGGCGACATCGTTAGATTCAGCAAAGTCAAGCACGTGTTTAACAAAGGTTATACACCGAATTGGACCACGGAATTGTTTAAAATTGTTAAAGTACGGGTTACTAACCCCGTAACGTATTTGCTTCAAGATATGCAGGGTAAACCCATAATGGGCGGATTTTATGAAGAAGAATTGCAGAAGACAGTTAACCCGGACTTATATCTCGTCGAAAAGGTGTTGCGCAGACGAGGCAATATGGTTCTCGTGCGCTGGTTGGGATTGGATAAGTCGCACGATTCGTGGGTAGACAACGTAGACGTTTTGAAATAAATTTAGTCTCGATTTAGAAGTTCTGACATAAATACGTGTAGAGCAAATTGTGACATCCAACGAATTGTATAATTTATTGGAAAATTTCGAGTTGCAATTTCCTTCATCAGAAGTGCTCCCGTCCAGCTTCGTTCCTGTAGAGCAACAAACCAAAAAATCTGCGACAAAACGAAAACAAAGTGCGTCGGTCGTATCCCGCAAGAAGAAGAAGAAAACTACCACAAGTGAAGCGTTTGCAGCTCCAACGTCATCCGCTGATTGGCTCGAAGTGTTCACGGACGGTAGAGAAAAAAGTGTCATTTGTGAGGCATTCAATTTAAAAAGAAACTTGGCGTCTCAGTTGGCGGGATTAGAGTGCAATATCAACGAAATTGAAACACAAATTGCGCTTTTTAATACAGACTTGCAAGTGGCGCGGATGCAAGCTCAAGAGTGCAAAAGAAAACTAGAACAATTTAATAATTTAGCATTTAACGAAATTGTAAAATAGTAATAATGTATATAATAAATAAATTATACAATTACAAACTTCTGTGTAATTATTATGCGGTGTTGTGGTGGTGGTAAAAAAGAAAATAGCGTCTAAATATATACATGTTTATTCTTGTTGCAATACAATGGAATACAATCAATACATAAAAGCCTTATCTACAGTTACATATTTTATAATAAAACCACAGTATTAATAGTTCAATGGACTATCAGAAAAGCGTAACTTTTTTCCATATTTCCTCTCATTGTGAAGCATTAAATTACATTCATCTTCAGTTTCTACAGTGAACAAAACTTCTTCAAAGCAGCTTTGACACCAAAATTGTTTATCGTGATATACATCATTCAAATTATTTATATCCAGCTGTAAATGATAGTGATCCAATAAAAGTCTAAAATTTTTCTTTTTAAATTTTTTAACTACTTGAAATATAAAGTGACAAGATTTACAAACTAAAATTTCCGAATATTTTATCCTGTAATAACTGACCCATAAACAGTAAGCGGATTCTCCGTCAAAATCAATGGTTGGAGTTGCCAAAATGCTATTTCTGTAAGACGATCCAAATCTCTTATTCAACAGAATGAATTCTAAATTTAATAAAGAATTGCCATCAGACTGGAGCGCTAATTGTTTAAGGTACCTCCATCTATATTTCGAATAATATTTAAATATTAGTATCGTTAGTTTCCAAGGCAAAGGTGACTCACGCAAAAAATCAGCACTACACCTAATATTTTCGCAAATTCTTATAATACAAAGGCTTTCTAATGTAAGTTGTTTGACCATAATCTGTAACAAAAATATATTAAAAAATAATTACGGCACTTTATAATGTCCCCACGGAAGCGTTTCATATGAATTCGGCAAAAGATAACGTTTATCGTCTAAAGGACTCAAGGCAACTTTTGTTTGTTCGATGCTAAATACATTGTGAGTGTATGAACGAATGGTTCGTTGAGTGGCGTAATTTTCCCTAAAATTTGTTAAGCATTCTACGTAGTCATCAAATGAAATTTTATTTTTTACAATATTGTACTGAATACCCTTTGACTTTTTAACTACCGAACCCGTTAAAATTTTGAAAGTATACATTTTCGACCTTAACCCCGCATAATGACTAATGATGGTGCCATTAGTCTCATCCTTCATCAACCCCAAAACCTTTTTGTTGATTTGCGGTATATTATAGGGATTATCATTAGGATAATCAGACGTGTCAAATTTTGTTAAATCGGCCTTAATAACGCTTTCATATGCGTCATAACATTTGATATTATAAATGAAACTGTCCGTATCCATGTATTGAATTTTACATTTTTCGGGACCCAAATTTGGAAGCATGTAATTATAATGAAATGGTCGTTTTCGACAAATCCAATATGGACATTCCAATATAAAGTGGCTTATTAAAGCAAAGTTCCGATTTTTTTAGTTCTATAAGCAACAAATTGTTATCAAGTATGGTTCTACTGTGAAATCTAGGACTAGAAATTAAATTTTTCGCACCGTAGCGACCATCCCACGCTTTAACAAATTTAACAATACGATGCTTGCGAATGTTTTCCATTGTTTTACCGTAAGCGGCATTATTAAACAATTTGTATAAATTTATACCAAATTTTGTCTTTGCTTGGGTTCTTAATTTATTATTATGATCGATATAACATTTCAACCAACGAGATTGGTTAAATTTTAATATTTTGTGAATTTTCTTTAGTACGAGACCGTTTTTGAGAGCCTGCTTTAAATTGCGATAGTGTATGACGTATTTTTCTTTATTATACAAAGTAGTCATTAGTTTTGGTAACTTTGAATTGGGGGGCACTCGATGTTCGGCACAAAATGGAAAATCTCTATGTGTGTCATGTAATTTCTGCGGGTATTCCAGGTCTACCTCTAGGATATATCCTTGGGAAGATTCATCTGGAATGTTCATGACATTAAATGAATCAATCTCTTGATGAGACATCCAGTCGAATCCTCCGTAAGGAAGAGGCTCGCACATGGCCTTGCCATAGAGGTTATTGACGTCAAAGTACATGATATAGGAATCATCCCTGGATGAATCGTAGTTGGGCATATATTTATTGTTGGCCTCCGCATATCTACCAACACACACCGAAATTCCACCTCGTATAGCCCGCTCGATAAACATAATTTGGTCAATGTCGCGCAAAAGTTCTAAACGACATTTTGTGAATCTAAGCATGCAATCCCATGTATACCCGGGCATACTGAAATACCACGCCGGATCCAAAACGTGTGTTGCCATACAAGTTTTTCGAAAATTTTCGAATATATCTGCCAGAAGAATAACGTCGGTTTTTAAATACAAATCTGAATACTCGCCTAAATTTTTTATTTCAAACGACTGCCAAACACTTTGTGCGTGGGAATATTTTTCTTCACTAATATTGCTTTCACTTAATTTATTATAGAATTCTTCAATCGGGGGTAAAGTTGTTTCATTTAATTTGTCTATATGGTCGATGTAATCGTAACAAAAAATACCTTTTTGCGACAGTAAATTTAATTTTGATTCGTCGAGATCGGAAAATTCTTTTCTTAAAATATATAGTTCATTTTTATCCATACTGGAAACTATTAACCGGAACTATGGATACATAGCTTTTTTTTGCTAAAACCGGAAGCAGGAAGTGGCTATCGTATCCAGAGAGGTTCTGGAATACTACGGGCACTACAAATATTTTTTTAAAATTTAAATTACAAGCCTGATGGGCAAAACCTCTAAATTTACCAGTAAAATGATCATGGTCACGAACAATAACATCTTCTTTTAAAAAAGGTTTTTCACAAATATGACAATGGCTCGACCTTTGATCTAGACTAATTTCACTATCCATTGAATATTGAATCATCATAAGAACATTTAAAGTAATATGCAGCACTGTAAGCTTCGTGCTTTTGGTATTTCGAGGTTTTATCTGAAATTTTCAAATTTACTTTTCTCAATTGACTCTCAAAATCGGCGTAAATTACAAACGGAGTCCTTTGTTTATATATATGGTTTCGAAATTCAACGTAATCATATTTGGGAAAAGACACTTTATACTCATTGAAACTGGAACACATTGTTTCGTGGTCATGTAGACGAGTTTCGTTATTGAAATAATTCAAACACCTATCGCAAATGTATTTCTTGTGATTATATTTACTGAGCTGTGAGGAAACTAATCGAGACAAATTTTTAATGTAACAATAGTGATATTTTATTTCTTCATGATCATTATCTTGCGGATCAGGATCAAAATCATTAACTTTTGGATAATATTTATTTTGTATTAACAACAAATTTGAATGTTTTTCGCGTTTTTCTTTTGTTAATCGTGCAGGTAACACGGAATAAAAACTAGTTTTTTCATTTTTATTAAACTCTAAGATATAAACATTGATGGAAATATCATTGTCTTTTTCAAATTTGCTTATTTTACTCATTTCCATAGGTGTTTGTAAATTTTCAGTTTTCAAAACACTTTTGTAGTATGGATATGAAGAGGGTAAATACTGACGAAAACGTGCTGGAAAGAGTCCGCATACAACTGACCAATAAAAACACGCTTGATCGTCATTTCTAATGTTAATACAAGCCCTTTTATTCGCAATTTCTTTAGGCAACTCAACGAAGGATGATCCGTTACCCATTTCAAATTTATTAATGTTAATCTCTAAATAAATAATATTATTTAAAGCCCACCCGGAATCACGTTCCTGAAACTCTGACATTTGATTTAAAATTTTATCTTGCACATTTTCAACAAACCAATCATTCAATTCTGTTCCTAACTCAACTACAGCATTTCCGGTACTCAGATATTTAACATCAACTTCGCCTTGGACATCATTTTTTGCCTTAATAAATTCACCGCAAAATGTGGTATTTACTTTCAGCAATAAAAATTTCTTTAAAATTTGACTAGTTTTTTGTTGAAAAATTGGACGACAATCGTTTAAAAATTGAATTAAATCTTTATGAACTAAATTAATTATGACACCGGTCTGAACTCTTCCCTGGAAACACGACGCTACCGATTCCCATACAACCATTTCATTTGTGTTTGTCTCGCGGCTACTACTTTGTAATCCCAATCCAAAATGCTTATGTTGATAATTAAGAATAATTTTTCTAATAGCTTTCAGATGTTGAATTGTAGTTTGTAATTTTCTTTTTAACCCAATAGATAAATCCTTTTCGTTAGAAACGATTTGGTTGCAAGACTCAATATTTTTATTTAGTCTCCTAAGCCACACATCACTATCTCTAAGAGTGAACTTGTCGGAAATATGCTTTTTTAATTTTTGTAAGGTTAAAATTAAGATTTGCGCTCTATGAATGATCTGCTTTACGCGCATCGTGGTTTATTAAATATATAACAGTAAATAAGACTTACCCTGTATAATATGTTGATTAATTTTGAATTATTTTGAATTTCTTTAAAGAGTTGGGCTTTCCAATATCTTTGGATCCCTCGTAGACCAGTTTGTACTGCCCCGACGCAAAGTGTTCTAGTCTCGGACGGAAAGCTTCTGTCACGCGAGTAGGAAGAAATACTACGGAATTTTCTAATTGCAGCAACACGGAATTGCCAAATTTTGTATTAACAATTTTGGCTCTAGTAATTTTAAACGGAACGCCTATCGGCAATTCATGCAGTTTGACAATCGGCTGCTCAAAATCACCTTCTGCAAGACAGGTTTGATTCAGTTGACTTAAGTCCATCTATAAATTATTATTAATTATTTTATCTCAAAATTAAAAAAAAAAACTTACGCTTAAGATTGCTGCTATTCTATTTGCGGTTACGGGTTGAGAGTACTAAGATGATCTTTAAGACCTTTATAAAATAATAACAAATGTTAAAAAATTAAAATAAAACAATAAAAAAGGTACTTACTGCTTTTTTGTACGAACACCAAACCACTAAGTTAGCTTCCACGTTGCACGAATAATACCAAAAACAACTACTGACAAAACAGAGAAAAATGAGATGTATTTATACGGTGCGAGAATACTTTCTAAAAGTTAACAAACGAAGACACCTCCACATGCGTTGCAACAAATTTTTCCCATTACGTTAATCCCACGGAGCAAATATAAACGGGCAATTAATTATTATTCTCAACAAGCAAAACAACTTGACATTTAGACTCGGCGCGTTTTGAAATTCCACATCCCATACGGAGATTGTAAAAAATGAAAGCAAGTTGGCCTTGATCTTTTGCGGCAACATACGTTCGTCCAACGTCCGAAGCGGTTGCGTTCCCGTGTGAAAGCGTGTTGACCCTGAGACTCCTACCTGCACGGTTGTCTGGCGACAACATCGCGTCTATTCAAATCGGCGTTGGTGCTTGTGGGTAGAAGACCTTTCGACTTTTAATTCAACCATGGAAGGGAGTGCATGTGTATAAATACGTTGCATGTGTATTATAGACTATATTCAGTGCAATGAATACAGAAGTGCGATGTCCATTTCCCTACGACCCTACAACTGGTAAGTTTTATATTTTAATTACCTTTATACAGTACGCGTCTTTTCTTGTGGGTTTCAGTTTGGGTTATCACTTTTTTGGTTAGTTTCTACCTGTTTTTAAAATATGATACTCATCTTTTTTACGATTTAAATTGAGTGTTTTTAATATCTTTTAAATGAGAGTGAACAGAAAAGGGAATTTTGGCTTTTAAAAAATAAACAATTTTTAAATTTGTTTCAAAAATGTGCGTTTTATGGGGAAAACGCGAAATATGTTTTATTTTTGTACTAAAAATTGCAGTTTGACTTTTTGACAATAATAATCGAATTAAATTGAGTGTTTTTAATATCTTTTAAATGACAGTGAATAGGGAATTTTGGTTTTTAAAAAATAAACAATTTTTAAAATTATTTGATGACCCCCCACTTACTGAAAGTTTTGTTTCAAAAATGTGCGTTTTATGGGGAAAACACGAAATATACATATCATACTTTGTTTTGTTCTAGAAAAAATCGCGGTTTGTCCGTATGACAAGTCGCATATTATGTTGGCGCATCGCTTAGGGCGTCACATATTCAAATCACACAAAGAGTACCGGGGATTAGAATTCCCGGTACGACATGAAACGACAAGGGAACATCACCAGCAGCAGGAGCAACCCGGTGGATCAAAAGAAACAAAGGAGCAGCAGGAGTACCCGGTTGGGTGGTCGACGGAATGGGACGGCGAGGAGTGCACTTCGTATTTAGATTTCCTCCGGGAACGGGAAGAAGAACAACGCAAGGAACAGGAACAATGGGATGGTCGACTGAATCGACATAAAAAGAAGAAGAAACTCCTCGCCAGACCAATTTTATAAATAAAATAAAATAAAATATATTAAAATTCAAGTTTATTTAATTATCCTCCCGATCCACCGCGTCACCGCGCCGCACCGTCACCGCCCTCTACCGGGGGGGCCTACGACGGTCGGAGCGCGCGACATCTAGCAGCGACGGGCGGAACCGGGGCAAAACAGGACGCTACACAAGCTGGCGACACAAGCGCGCGACATCTAGCAGCGACGGGCGGAACCGGGGCAAAACAGGACGCTACACAAGCTGGGTGGGGGGCGGAGCGCACTCTGGTAGACAGGGGGGACACTAGGACGCCACGCGCGGGGGGCCCTCGCTGCGGGGGGGTTAGGAAATTGAGGTTATGTACGGTTTCTGTTGCTTATATCGGCACTATATATCTACTGACCTAAACATTGCACTACGTCAGGCTGGCAAAAACGAGTTTGAAAAGAACTTGTTTAAATTGATGATCAATGCTGTGTTTGGAAAAATAATGGAAAACATACGGAACCATTCCAACGTTAAGCTTGTGAAAAACTGGGAAGGTCGCTACGGTGCGGAAGCTCTGATTGCCCGACCCGAGTTTAAAAGTGCAACTATAATTAGTAAAAACCTCGTTCTTATTGAATTAAAAAAATCTGAAATATATTTTAACAAACCTATCTACGTTGGGATGTCAATTATGGAGATAGCCAAGACAACAATTTATGACTTTCACTACAACTACATTCAAGAAAGATTTTCCAATTCCCGAGTTTTATATACCGACATCGATTCTCTTGTATACGAGATATTAACCATAGACCCGTACGAGATTCTAAAAAAGGATTGTTACCAGTATTTTGATACTTCCGACTATGCGGAGGATAATCCGTACGATATACCCAGAGTCAATAAAAAGGTTTTGGGTCTGATGAAGGATGAAAATAATGGACGAATTATGTCTCATTTTATCGGACTGAGAGCTAAAATGTACGCCACAAAGTTCTATAAAACACCCGAGGAAGAAGAGACCGCAAAACAACAATTGATGACCGCAGAAACAGATCGCGAAGCATTTGAACGTGAATTTAAAAACTTGGGTGTTACGAAGAGGATCAAAGGAGTTAAAAAATCCGTCATCAAAACTAAGATAACTTTTGAAGATTTCGTCGATTGTTTGCAAAATTTTTCTGAAAAAAGCATATCGCAGAATTTAATAAGAGCGAGCAAACTGGAGTTGCACACAGTATCCCAAAAGAAGATCGGGTTAAGTCCTTACGATGATAAACGTCACATATCAAAGTCATCAGTAGAAACGTTGCCGTGGGGACACTATTCAATTATGGAAGAAGAAACTGTCTCCGCTTGATTGTAAATGTGTTTTATTGGTTTTGTTTTGAAATTTCGTTTTTCCTAAAAATCGAATGGGGTGCACTTAAGGACTCAATTCACGTCTGGCAGCCTCGTTAAGTTTTTATTTTAAAAAATGCATGAAATATTTTGATCTTTTTTCATTATATTTTGGGAATATTTAGAATAAAAATGACCGGAAGTCCTTAATATTTTTCGCTTATTACCTCCAACTACTTTTATTATATTTTCCACTGTCAATAAACAGTTTGACTCCTGTTAATATGGTTTTTAATTTTTGCAACTAACCAGTACCTATAGTACGTGTCTACTGTTAACAGCAAACAGACGACCGATTTGCAAATGCCTATTTTGAAAAAGTGTTTATCAATCTAGAAGACCTTTATTTAAAGATTAAATGTGCTATTGGATTCAATTTTTCAATATATTCAACTTTATCTCGAACCAATTTGCGATGTCAATGCCTCGCAACCGCAGATAAGAGACTACGGTGCGGCGATATCCTAGTGGGCGGATGGATCGCCTTTGCTTTTAAGGCGCAAAATATATTTGCGTGTGCTATCAGTAATTTTGTTGGGTGTTAATTTTCTTTGCCAAATTACGTCATGTGAAAGTCGACACGCTTTAAAATTGCATGCGACAGACTGCACGTCCGAGGCGGTTGTGTGTCAAGTCGTTCCCGTCTGAGCACGTGGACCTTGAGACTCCCACCTGCATGGCTCTCTGGTGACAACATACGTTCATCGTGTTTATTCAAATAGGCGTTTCTGCCTTTCGATTTTTAAGTCAATTTTTAATTTTTAATTTAACCATTGAAGGGAGAACATGTGAATAAATACATTTAATGTGTATTGTAGACTATATTCAGTGCAATATCAAGTGCGATATCTATTTCCCTATGACTCTACAACTGATAAGTTTTATGATTTTAATTTACCCTAATACAGTGCGAGTCTTTTTTGTTTTGTTTTTGTGGGTTTCAGTTTTCGTTAATTTTCTCAGTGATTTGTGAATAACAAAAAACAATGATCACTTTTTTTGGTCAGTTACTACCTGTTTTTATAATATAATAATCCACTTTTTTACGTTGCATAATAATCGAATTAAATTGAAATATAGTGTTTTTTAAATATCCTTTAAATGACAGGGAATAGAAATGTGACTTTACTTACGTCACTTACTGAAAATTTTGTTTTAAAAATGTGTTTTATAGGCAACGCGACATATACATATTTTGTTTCTTGTTTGTTCTAGAAAAAACACGGTTTGTCCGTTTGACGGTAGGTTGGTTGGTGCTAAGAGGTAAAAATGAGAAAAATTTATTCTTGAACTGTCACTATATATCTACTGATCTAATCCCTCATTTCTTTCTCATGCACATATTGAAGATTTTGACACACTTTCAGGAAAATCGTGGATGTCCAATTCAATTGTTCAAATTGTGATAAACTGTTTTGAAAAAATTTACGAAAAAGAGGTAGAACATTTTAATATATGGAATCCATATCAAGGAAATTATGCTTTGTTCGACTATCATAACCTAACAAACAATTTCTACACCAGCCTGCCAAATTTTAACAAAAATATTATCATCCCCTTATCAAGAAACCAACATTGGACGTTAATATACATAGATTTTGGTAGAAGAATTTTCTATTATTTCGACCCGTATACTACATTACATTAAATCAATAATTACAGATAATTCCTTGAACACACCTTTAACCCCCACCAATTTGAAGGATTACAGAAATTCTCTAAGGGATCTTCTTATTCGCAAATCGAGTGATATGTCAGATATATGTCTTTGCTGTGGAAATTGCGTAAACTACAATAATGTACATTTTGCAAAAGATTTGTCGATGAGAGGTGTTTTAAAGAATATGCCAATAATTTTAAACATAAAATATGTCCACTTTGCACCAATTACAATACCAAATAATGAAATTGAATTAAATTGAAGCATATAGAATGAGAAAAAAAATTAATAATTTTCCGTCGAGAAATATGCTTCATTTTCGATAATAAACTCAAATTTTCAACAATTCAAGGTTGTTCAACTTTCAAGCTAAAACGGAACGTATCAAGAAAAAAAAATCTGTTTCTCCAAAATCCGTTTTTTGCTTATTCCAACCCCTAATCCCCAAGTTGCTTTATTCAAATTTTGATGAATCATCCCTTTTGTGATTATACGTTAGCGATATGAACATAATCACTGCACATAGACCGGAACATATGTAAAAAAATAATTTCCGTTTCGTCAAAATCGGTTTTTTGCTAGAAAAAACACGGTTTGTCCGTTTGACGGTAGGTTGGTTGGTGCTAAGAGGTAAAAATGAGAAAAATTTATTCTTGAACTGTCACTATATATCTACTGATCTAATCCCTCATTTCTTTCTCATGCACATATTGAAGATTTTGACACACTTTCAGGAAAATCGTGGATGTCCAATTCAATTGTTCAAATTGTGATAAACTGTTTTGAAAAAATTTACGAAAAAGAGGTAGAACATTTTAATATATGGAATCCATATCAAGGAAATTATGCTTTGTTCGACTATCATAACCTAACAAACAATTTCTACACCAGCCTGCCAAATTTTAACAAAAATATTATCATCCCCTTATCAAGAAACCAACATTGGACGTTAATATACATAGATTTTGGTAGAAGAATTTTCTATTATTTCGACCCGTATACTACATTACATTAAATCAATAATTACAGATAATTCCTTGAACACACCTTTAACCCCCACCAATTTGAAGGATTACAGAAATTCTCTAAGGGATCTTCTTATTCGCAAATCGAGTGATATGTCA